GTTGCACTTGTGTTCAGTTCGATAGACAGATCTGCTTAATTAACGAGTTCTTCCTATGAGGAAATTTTACCAGTCGCTCAAGGTTCCGAGTTTTGCTATTTCTAGTTCCTAATTGACATCTCCCAAATGAACCTTGAAATTGAACTCTGACTCCCTGTATTTGAAATAACTACATTCTAGCATTGAAGACATTAATGCCCAACAGAGTTCAAGGCAGTTCTTTCCTTATTTTGAAGACAGTAGGGCAGTGATGAGTTTGTTCATACCTAAGGTGCTGCTGAAGATGTCTGAGATTCCCACTGAGAATTATAGAAGCCTCCTCTTCCGGGCCTGCTTTAGCATGTCAATGTGCATCTTGAAAGTCTTACCAAAATCAGAGAAGAAAAGTAGCAGAAACATAGGTGTGGAGAGGGAGCAGCTGCTGCCAGTAGCCCTGACAAGGTCACTAGCCTCCCTCCCACATTAGGACTTTTTAAGGCCAATAAATAAAACTAAAGAAAAGCAGGGCTCCTGGGTTGGTGTTCTAGGCTGGTTTCACTCTATGGTGATTGCATACCTGATTGCTTTGAAAGGAGGAAGTGTTAAAAAGCCACCTCCGTTTGCCTCAGTTTCCTCTCTGTAAAATGAGATTAATAATAGCACCAACCTTGAAGGGCTGTTGTGAGGGTCAAATGAGATAATATTTGTAAAGCTCGTGCCTGGGACACAGTATTTTCACCTCTGGGGAAATATGTCCTGGGAGATCTGCTGTTCCTCTGTGTGTCTCTTCCATTTGATTATTATTGGTAATAATTTCACATTTGTGTAGTGGTTTACAGTAACAAATCCCTTTCATCTCGATTATCCCATTTGATTCTTACAACAACCCTGTCAGGGATGAAAGATAAGAAATTATTGTGTCCATAAGGTGTAAAGATGGAACTGTTAACTCAGAGAAGTTGTGACAACTAAAATCACACGGCTTGTTAATAGCTCAGCTGGCACTTCAAAACAGGAATTTAAGTCCACTGCTCTTATCATTACATCTATCAACATGGGAACTTAGGTCAGCTTGCTTCCTGGTGACCAAACCAGGACATAGCAATGTTCTTTTTCAACCCAGGACATAAGAATGTTGTAACTCCATCTGTGCCTTCCTTTCCATTCCTGGTAACGTTTACAATCACACAGCCAGAAGGTACCACAGAATATAGGATGTCAGAAAAGGAAAATAACAAATGTTGGAGAGGATGTGGGGAAAATGAGGTATTAATGAATTGTTGGTGGAGTTGTGACCTGATTCAGCCATCTTGTAGAGCAACTTGGAACTATGCACAAAGGGCTATAAAATCATACATACCCTTTGACCTAGCAATACCACTATTAGGTCTGTATCCAAAAAGAGATAAAAAAGCAAAAAGTAGAAGGACTTGTATGTACAAAAATATTTATAGCAGTTCTTTTCTGATGGCAAGGAATTGGACATTGAGAGGATGCCCATCAATTGGGGAATGGCTAAACAAATTGTGATATGTGATTGTGATGTAATATTATTGTGCTATAAGAAATGATGAGCAGGAAGCTCTCAGAAAAACCTGGAAAGACTTACAGAAACTGATGCAAAGTAACATGCACTGTGTATAAAGTAACAGCAACATTGTAAGATGATCAGCTGTGAATGACTTAGCTATTCTCAGCAATATAATGATCCAAGACAACTCTGAAGGACTTATGATGAAAAATGCTATCCATCCCCAGAGAAAGAACTGACGGTGTATGAATACAGATTGAAGCATACTTTTTTTTAACCTTCTTTATTTCTCTTGAGTTTTTTGTCTACGTTTTCTTTCACAACATGACTAATGTGGAAATATGTTTTGCATAACTACACATGTATAACCTATTTTGAGTTGCTTGCCTTCTCAATGAGGGGGGTAGGGAAGGAAGAAGGAGGAGAATTTGGAACTCAAAGTTTTAAAAATGAGTGTTAAAATTGTTTTTACATGTAATTGGGGAAAAACAAAATACTGAATAGAATATAGAATGTCAGAGCTAGATAGCAAGTTGGAATAAAACGTATAGAATGCCAGATCTAGAAGAGAGCTATAGAATAAAAAACAGAAAATGTTAGCACTGGAAGGACCTTTAGAAGATAGGAGGACTCTCAGGGTTGAGAACCTTAGAACATACAACACATGAGTTGGAAAGGACCTGAGAAAATGCAACATAGAATGTGATAGCTAGAAGAACCCTTAGAACATAGAAGTTAAGATTGTTGGTGTGGTAAGGAACCTCAAAGACTATTTAGTCTAAAGTCTTTATTTTTAAGAGGGAAAACCTGAAAACTAGAGAGGATAGCTGGCTTACTCCTCCCCCTGCCAAGTCACACAGCAAGTTAGAGCCAGGCCCAGAACTAGAGGAAGGGGAAGTGAAAAATCATTTATTATGCTTATTTATTGTTATTATTATTATTGTATATCTATATTATGTGCTACAGGCGACAAGGTGATGCAGTGCATAGAGCAACAGGCCTGTAGTCAGGAAGACCTGAGTTCAAATTTGGCCTTGGAGACTTCCTAGCTGTGTGAATCTGGACAAGTCAATTAACCCTGTTTGCCTCAGTTTCCTCATCTGTAAAAAGACCTGGATAAGGAAATAGCAAATAACTCTAGTATCTTTGCCAAGAAAACCCCAAATGGGGTCATGAAGAGTCAGACATGACTCAACAACATACTATGTACCAGGCACCAGCTTTACAAATATTATCTCATTTGATCCTCACAACAACCCTCCAACATTGGTGCTACTATTAATCTCATTTTACAGTAGAGAAAACTGAGGGAAATAGAAGTTAAATGACTTGCCCAAGGTCATATAGCCAATAAGTGTCTAAGGCTGAATTTGAATTCAGCCTAATGCTCATTCTGCTGTACCACCTAACTACTTCACTAGAGCTAGAGCCTGCATCTCCTGGTTTCTAATACAGGGCTCTTGGTGCAGCTCCAAAACTATCCCTTGAGTCAAATACTCCATTACCTCTTACCTGGACTACTGAAACACCCTTCTTACCTGTATCCTTGTTTCCAGTCCCTCCCCTTCCAATTCCTCTTGCTTTCCTTGTTAGAGTTATATTCTTGATGAGCAGCTCTGACCATGCCACTGCTCAAAAACCCTTACCAGCTCCCATATTCTGCCAGAGTATAAATTCCTTGTTTTGTTGTTCAAGGCCCTCTATGGTCTAGTGCCAAGCCTGTGTGACCTTTTCTCCCATTACACCTCTACATAAATGGCACTCTTCCAATAAAATGTGTTTATGCATTCTCATGACATACCACAAATATTCTCACCTCCAATCCTTTATTCACACATTTCTCCTTGCCTGGAGCACCCTTAACCTTCCTCTCCACTTGAATAACTTTATACACTACAACAAGGCCTGTCTCCCCTAGGAAGATTTCCTGGAAACATCAACTCTACCCCAGCCCACAGAAACTGCTTTCTCTTTATCTTTTGCACTTCTCATTTAGTCCTTTGTAAAGACTCCCTTGTAATACAAATAATTTCTTTATGTGTGTGTGGGGGGGTGTTATTTAGCTAATAGACCTTAAGGGCAAAGACCATGCTTATACCTCTTTTTTATCCCTAGGACATAGCCTGAGGCCTGGCATGCTGTGGCTCTATGATAAATATGTTTTGGGGATGATGATGAAATGACAGATCTCAAGGTGGGAAGGAAATTTGGTGGAGTTCACTTAATCCATCCCATGGTTAAAGCAGAATCTTTTCCACAACATCTCTGAAAAGTGGTCATGCAACCAACCTATCCCCTCGTGTGGACGATGAGGAAGGTGGTGAGGAACTCACTGCCTCCTGAGTCAGCCTATTGCAATTTGGGATAGATCCAATCATTAGGACTTTCTCCCTCGTGCTGAGTGACTATCTACCTGCCTTTATCTTCCATCCAAGACTCCTAGTTCTGCCTTTTAGAGCCAATCAGAACAAATTTGGTAATTCTTCCCCCTGATAGCTCTTCACATACCTGACTCCACTGGTCTTCTCTTCCCAGGCTAAATATCCCCAATTCTTTTAACCAGTCCTATGGTGAAATTTTCCATGTCTAATAGGACAAAATGGTTCTGAAGTTCCTACAAGAATATTATCCTTTTTAAAAAACTGAATGATAATATGGACTGCTCTCTATAAATAATGTCTACTGAATGTTTTTGGTAACTAACAAGATATGACTCAGAGCTCAATGAGTAATCAGGAAGGCTAGCTTTGACCTTCAAAATGGTGCATCTTGAATTTTCAAAACTTACACTTTACAAATGACCAGACCTCAAACTAAAAATTAAAAATTTCATGTAGTTTGACTTTTTTAAAAGCAGTGGTATGCACAAAGCTTTCATTCCCCAGTTTTGAGGCCAAAGTCTTATAAACACATGAACATCAACAAGAAAAAAAGAGAACACCACTGTAGAATAGACATAAAGGGTTTTTAAGCAGATAAAATTGTGATACTTTACAGTCATAAGAAATTCTCAGAGATTTCAAAATGCTATCACTGTTTTTAAAAAAAATAACCCAACACTTATATAAATTTTATTTATAAATATCTTGCAAAAGTTTTTATCACCAGAATTTTAAAGATATGATTATGATGAAAAAAAGGATGATGATAGTAGTAATGGTAATGATTGGTGGTACTGATGTCAGTGGTTGTAGTCATGGTGATGATATTGATGGTAATGGTCTTGATGACAAGTGGTGGTAATAATAATGGTAATGATGGTGGTGGTGGTAGCAATGGTGATAATGATGGTGGTACAATGATCTTGATGATAATGTGTTAGTGGTGGTGGTGGTGGTGTTGAGAGTAGTGATGATGATAGTGGTTATGGTACCAATGGTGATGATGATGATAAAGGTGATTTCAAACAAGTTGAAGATGAAGATATATCTTCTTACTTTTGGATTATTTCTGTGCTCAATATCCCTTTTCTTTTTTCTGTGGTTTGCAGTTCCGGGGAGGGTTTCACATATGCAGAGAAGATTGGACTGCTCATCTTTCTCTCTGCAGTCATCCTAATGGCCATACTGGGAAACCTATTGGTGATGGTGGCTGTGTGCAGGGACAGACAACTCAGGTGAGCCTTCTTAGGTATTTTGTTTCACATAATCTCCTGTTGAGGAGATGATGGCTTTGGTTTGGGGTCCAGAGACCATATTTTTATAGAATCCCTGATGCATAAGATGATTGACATAGAAGATCTCATTGGAACATAGACTATCAAAGCAAAGTGCATGAAATATCAAACCTGGAAGGGACCTTAGAACATAGAATGTGGAATTTCAGAACTAGGAAAGAATTTAGAGTGCAGAATGTTGGAATATACCTTGTAGTAGATTTGATTTATTTTCCCCACTTGAAATAGAAACTGGAAGTTCTATAGGCTGAAATCAGGAAGATGGGAAGCTTTCAAAAATTTTAGGGAAATGTCTAGCATAATGAGTTAAAAGTTTTACCATATGCTAACTCTCCTCTCCTATCTCTTTGGCATTGGTATCCTCGACCCAGTCCCTCATGTCAACTTCAGTAATTGGAGAACATAGACCATTAGAGCTAAAGGGGGGCAGCTAGGTGGCGCAGTGGATAGAGCAGCGGCCCTGAAATCAGGAGGACCTGAGCTCAAATCCGGCCTCAGATACTTGACACTTACTAGCTGTGTGACCCTGGGCAAGTCACTTAACCTCAATTGCCTAAAAATAAAAAAATAAAATGAAATAAAATTAAAAAATAGAGCTAAATGGGCCTTTAAGACATCAAACACAGAACCTCATAGCTGACAGAGGATTTTGTCATGACTTAGTCCAACTTCTTCATTTCACAGATGAAAAAACTAAGGGTCATAATGAGTGATTCAGTAGCAGAATTGGGTTCTCCTGACTCCAGAGATTTTCCAACTACTATTTTCTTCTGCTGTCTCCAGCAGAATCCAGTTATGGAGCTGGACCCTTGGGCTCTGCCACCCTCCCAGTCTTATCTCCCTGTCAGATTGTAACCTCCATGAAGAGAGGGAATATGTCTTTTTCATTTCTATATCTCCTTACACATAGAATGCACTTAAATACTTGTTGAATTGCATTGCATTGCATTGCATTGAATTGAATTGATGGTTTAGTAGAAAAGCTGTGGATTTTCAGTCTAAAGATCAGATTTCAAATCTAAGGTCTGCTACTAATTGTCTGTGTGACCTCGGATAAATCATTTTCCTTTCTGGAAGTTGGACTAGATAGTCTCCACAAGGTCTCTTCCAACTCTGACATACTGTGAGCCTATGAATTGACTTGAATACAACTGGTTCTCTTGAACCTGCAACAACTTCCTTGGTGCCTTGGTTTCCAAACTGAACCACAAAACAGAGTATTCTTCCTTCTGTTCCCCATCACAGGAAAATCAAAACAAATTATTTCATTGTTTCCCTGGCCTTTGCGGATTTGCTTGTTTCTGTGCTGGTCATGCCTTTCGGTGCCATTGAACTGGTCCAAGATGTCTGGATTTATGGTGAGATGTTTTGCCTGGTCCGAACATCTCTAGATGTTCTACTCACCACAGCCTCAATATTCCACCTGTGCTGCATTTCACTAGACAGGTAAGAATAGATCCATGTATAAAGCTACCCTTTGAGCCTGTTCCTGCTCTATGGAACCTTTGAATTGGGATTCCTTGATTCCTCCAATTCAGCTGTCTTGACTCTTAACATATCAGTGTGCACACCTCTAGCAGTGTTTCATCATGGTGTGGAGAGGACCCTGGGATCTCAGAAGTTATGTCACTGTATCTACCACAAATTCTGGCAAATCTTCCTGGGCTTAGAAAGCTTGGGGTTGGTAATAGCGTAAGTAAAAGCGAAATTCTTAAATTTTGCTTCTTTAGCTCTCCCCTGGCACTCCCTGTATAAGAAGGAAGTCTCCAGTTATACTGGAAAGAGCACTAGAGTGAATTCAGAGTAACTGTTCTAATCCTGTATCTGTCATTTACTTATTGAGTAAACTTGAGAAAGTCATTTCTCCCTCTTTGAACCTGTTTCCTTATCTGTCTGTAAATTTAATGGGCTAGAGTAGATCTCTAAGGTCTAGTTATACAAATAAGGAATGTCTAAGATCCTAATAAGGAACATCTCTAAAGCCTATCATTTTATTAAGGAATATTTATCATGAGCTTATGCATTTCAATGTTGGAAGAGGAATGACATTGTTAATTTGGACGATGCGTTTTAGGAAAAATGTTGAAAGCTGCGTTAGTGACTAGGATGGGAAAGGACCAAGATGGTGAAGAAACTTAAAGCCAAGAAGAAAATGGGGATATTTAATTTGAAGAAAAGTAGGTAGAGGGGCAGCTAGGTGGAGCAGTAGGTAGAGCACTGGCCCTGAAGTCAGGAGGACATGAGTTCAAATCTGTCCTCAGGCCAAACACTTCACATGTACTAGCTGTGTGACCTTGGGCAAGTTACTTAACCCCAATTACCTCACTAAAAAAAGAAAAATAGGTAGAGTGATGACATTATTGAGATGTTGAAAGAAAAACACCAATGTGATTTTAGACCATATTAAGGGAAGCAAAATGTCCAGGACTAGGAAAGTGATAAGTGGCAAAGTTGTAAAAGAGATAGAGTGCTTAACTTGGAATCAGGAAGAAATGGATTCAAACTCTGTCTCAGACATATATTAACTATGTGACCTCGGATAAGTTACTTAACCTCTCTGTGCCTCAGTTTCTTCATCTGTAAAATGAGGGGGTTGGACTCATTGACTTCTAAGGTCTCTTTTAGCTCTAAATCAGTGATCCTATAAGACCTGAAGTCAATCCCTACTTGAGATACTTACTAGCTATGTGACCCTAGATAAATCACTTAACATCTCTGAACCCCAGGTTCTTCATCTGTAAAATGGAATATAATAACACTTACCTCAAAGTGTTATTATGGGGATCAGTAAAATTGTATATTTAAAGTTCTACATGAATATTAACTATTATTATGGTCCTGTTATCCTCTGTCCTTTCACAGGCAGGAAATTGAGGCAGAGAAGGGGAAGAGAGTTGTCTCTAGAAATGCAGAGAGTGAGAAGAGAGTTTTGCTTTGTTTTGTTTTGTTTTTAAATATGATTTTAAACAGAACAGTCAGAGGCAGCTGGTGTCAAAGTAGATAGAGCATGTGGCCTAGAGACAGAAGTCCTGAGTTCAAATCCAGCCTCAGACACTTACTAGCTATATGACCCTAGACAAGTCATTTAATCTGTTTGCCTCAATTTCCTTGATTATAAATTGAGGATAACAATTGAACCTACCTTGCAAGGTTGTTGTAAAGATCAAATGAGATAATATTTATTTAAAAAGCACTTAGTACAGTGCCTGGCACATAGCAGGTGCTACGTAAATGCTTATTCCCTTCCCCTTGTAAGCTTAACCCCCAAAGTGGGTATTGTATACAGACAATTCTGTACACACATTTCAAGAGGGATGCTGACAAGTTGAACGGTATCCAGGGGGGTGACCACGAGGGAAGGGGATTCAGTACCATGCCATATAAGGTTAAGTTGAAAGAACAGGGCAGCTCTCATGACCAGAACATTAGTACAGCCATATATCATGTTAGCTTTTTTTTTTAACCTGTAATATCACAGCCCTGACATGTATTAACCTTGTGGTCAACTAAGAACCCTAGGTCCTTTTCACACGTTCTGTTGACTAGCCATGTCTCCCTTCTTGTACTTGAAAGTTTAATTTTTAAGATCCATCCTTTATTACTTCCCACATCGGAAGGCAATGTTTTGAAAATAGATATTAATAATAGTTTGCACTTAAAAATGCTTTGAAATTATCTAATTTTCTCCCCACAAAACCCATTTGAGAGAGAAGTAGAGCAAATGATGTCACCCTGGAATTGCAGATGAGGAGACTGAAACTCTGAGAACCTAAAAGACTCCCCCAACTTAGCATATTTAGCAAGTAGCAGAACCAGGACTTTAGATCATCAGACTCAGAGACAGAAAGGACCTTCAAGGTGAGCAGAATCCTCCACCCTGATAAAGTCGGGTTTTGAACCCAAGATGTCTCACTAGAGCGAATGCTTTGTCTTGTGTCATGTCGACCACTCAAATCTTCTGATTAAATTCAGAGCATCTTGGTTACACTACTCAGTTTCTGGTCAGATCAAAGTGCCTTATACCAAGCAACAGACACTCTATTTTTCTAGGCAGCTCTTAACACAGTCTCTGGCACAGAATAGGCACTTATTAAATGCCTGTTGACTGACTAAAGGACTGACTATCCTGGTGATTTGCTTCTCTTTGGGAATGTCAAATTGAATGGAGTTAGGACCAGATGTCCTAGAAAAGTTGAATAGTAGCTGACATTTCCCTAGCACTAGTATTACAGAATTTCTGAGTTGGAAGAGACCTTGGTTCTTGTGCCTAAAAAGAACGCTGAATTTAGAGTCAGAATGCTGACTGATATACTTTCCTCCCAATGTCCCTGTGAAGAAAGAAGTGTAAGCATTATTATCCACATTTTACAGATGGGGAAACTGAGGCTCCCTGAGGCACAGGGCAGTGAGTGGTAGAGTCAGAGTTAGTTGCAGAATCACAGCATCTCTGAGCTGAAAGAGACTTCCAGGACTACCTAGTTCAACCCACACCTAAGCATGAATTCCCTCTAAAGCAGGGGTGGGAACCTGCGGCCTCAAGGCCACACGTGGCTCTCCAAGTCCTCAAGCGCGGCCCTTTGACTGAATCCAAACTTCACAGAACAAATCCCCTTAATAGAAGGATTTTTCTGTGACACGTGGACTCAGTCAAGAGGCTGCACCTGAGGACCTAGAAGGCCACATGTGGCCTTGAGGCTGCAGGTTCCCCACCTCTGCCTAAAGTATCCTGGACAGATGGTCATCAAGCACCCATTGGAAGATCTCTCATGATGGAAAATTAAAAATGGAACCTTAATATCACAGGAAGCAGTCTTCTATCTGAATTCCAAATGGGACCAACCTTAGTCCACCATCTATCTCTCACTGCCTATGCCATTACCTACCCACCCCTCATACATACACTCAGGCCAAAACCATCCCTTCAGGGTATGAGCTCCTTGAAACCCCTTTAAGGCTATTCTGATCAAAATCATGCATAATGAAACTTAATTTTTTTTTACTCATTACATATCAAAGGGCAAGTCTCTTCCCATTTCTGGAACTTAACTTCCTTCCCTGTAAGATTAAAGGATTGCATTAGATGATATCTAAGGTCTCTTTTAGCACAGACATTTTATTCTGTATATGCTAAAGTTGCTTTTAGCTCTGATAGCACAGATTTCCAAGATTCTGTGCATCACAATAAGAGAACACATCTCCTGCCCTCATCTTCTGATGCTAGAAATGGAAGTCCCTTGGAAGCTGGATGACCCCCTCCAGGGGACCATGCAGAAAGGGTTCCTGGTCAGGCAAGGTTTGATCAAATTAGATAATACATGTAAACCACTTCATAAACTTTAAAATACTACATAAATGTGAGTCATTCTTGTTATGATCTCATCCTTCTCATCATTAATGACAATATCCTTTAAGGTCCTTCCCAATTCTGAACATTTTATAGTTCTATTATTCTAAATACATTGAAATATTATACAATGGCACTAACTTAAAATGAATAGTTGAAGAGAGGCAATACAGCTTAGTAAAAAGAATACCAAATTTAGAGTCACAATGCTAGGAAGAGAGGCAATACAGTTTAGTAAAAAGAATACCAAATTTAGTCACAATGCTTGGAAGAGAGGCAATACAGTTTAGTAAAAAGAATACCAAATTTAGAGTCACAATGCTAGAGGTCTCACTCCAGGTCTGCTACTTTTTTCCAATCCAATAATCCAGTAAACATTCATTAAGCATCTACTATGCTAGGCACTGTGCTAAGTGCTGGGGATGCAATAAATAAAAAGAAAGGTAGCACCTGCCCTCAAGGAGCTTATAATCTAAAGGATTACTTGACAGCAGTGGGACCTTGTACTCTTTCATCAAAATCTGCTCCCCTCAGCCTCCCACCAATTTCTTTTAGGTATGTTCTCTGGGCCAAGCAAAACAAATCCAATATCTCTACCATCTGTTGTCCCTTTAAATACTTAAAAGCAATGATCATCAGTTTCTATTTTTTCTTTTTCCCCCCAGACTCAAAATCTCTAGTTCATTGAACTAGTCCTTGCATAGCATGGTAACAAATCCCCTCTCTGTCCTAGATGTCTTCCTCTGGACCCAAGCCAGCTTGTCAAGGTTATTCTTAAAAGGGGTAAATCTAAAAAGTCATCCATCCTCCAGATGTGGTGGAGAGAATTATCACTTCCTTTGTTCTTCCCACTGCCTCCCATTAATGCCATTGAAGGTTTTATTTTAAATTCCGTATTTCACCTCTGACTTAATTAAACTTGCAGTTATTAAAACCTCCATTTAGTCCAATGTTCTCCTCCCTCAGTTTTATAGACAGGGAGGATGGATGTTGTCCACTCAGATGAAGGAATAGTTTTGCCAAAACCACACAGACATGGCAGAGCCAATTTCACCTATATATTTATTGAGCTCTGACATTCTGTGTTCTGTAGTCCAATGTCCCTTCCAATTCTAATTTTCTATGTCCCACGTCCTAAGGTACTTCCCAGCATTGAAAGTGAACATTCTATATGCTAAGATCTCTTTCCTTCTCTGGAATTTTACCTTCCTAGGGTTTGTCACCTCAGGTCTGACAACATATGGTCTATATTCCAAAGTTCTTCCTATCACTGATGGGCTATATTCCATGTACTAAGGTCCACAACACCTTGGAATGTACCACTTCTGATGCCAAAAGGAATTAGCTGGCCAAGGGCTTCCATTTAGGCATGTGCAGCACTGTGGCCATGCCTGAAAAGGGTGTAGGAGATTGGCTGAATAGAGGCCAGAGGGAAATCTATAAGTAGGGATTTAAAATCTACCTGGTTTTCCCTGGGCCTGAACATATGACCCAGCCCGTTGCCTAAAGGACATTAACTGTTACTTAACCAGGCTAATTGCATCCCTGCTCCCCTGTGACCTGATCCTCAAACTTCTTTTTTCTCTATTAAGAACAAAAATTAACACTGTGGCTTTCTAAAATGCCAGTTCTCTGCCATTCCTTGTATTGAATGATTGAAAATCCTTTGCTGTACCCCTAGTCAATGAAGAATGAATACCAGGTAAGCCAGGTAACTCTTCCCTGTTCTTCGTCTTCCCAGATGATTCTTGTCCTTGAGCTGTGCAGTCTCCAAAGATTAATTTATCTCATCAGAAATGTCACCTCACAGGTTGACCCTATTTCTTCACATGGCCTCTCCCTCCTACTCCCTCGATTTTCTCCACCACCCAAAAGAATGTCGGCTTTGTTATGTTAGTTATACTTTGAGAAAAGGGAAAAAGGAGGAGGTGGCAAAAATACTGAGGTGACTCATCTAAAGGGGTGAATTTTTACATGACATAAGATGATCAAGAATAGGACCATTTAATATCTCCCTGCATCTATTTCTAAAATTTTCATAGAAAACTAACTTGAAGCTCCAGCAAGGTCTTGCCAAGGTTAGAGGAAACAAGTTTTGGTACAATACAAGGTAGCTAGTTGTAATGGGCTACAGGGCCAAGTTTGTTGTCTATTCCAGAGTGAAAAAGATGATTGCTCTTAGTGTCCTCAACCAAAGTCCAACCTCATCTGGAAGACTGAGTTCAGCTCAGGTCACTGCATTTTAGGAAGGACCAAGCTAGGCAGTACAATAGAGTGGAATGGACCATGGGTTTGGAGTCAGGTGATCTGAACCAATTACATTGCAATACGCTTATCAAAATATTTTTCAAAGCAAATTCACAGTCCCCAAGTTAATAACCTTGAACTAGATGATCTCTGAGGGCTTTAGACTTTCTCAGATCCCAAGTTGGAGCTCCTTCCAGGGAGCATGATGGCAATATTGAGAAGACTTGAAGCCATAACCTGTGAGGATCAGTTGAAGGAAACAGGAATGTTTTGCTTGGAGAATAGAAGCTACGATGGCTGTCTTTCAGTACCTGAAGAGCTGCTGAGTGAAGAGGGATTAAATAAACTTGCTTCTACATGGTCTCAAAGGACTGAACTAAGGGAAGTGGGAGTGGGGAGATGTAGGGAGGAAGATCTCAACTCAAGATAAAGAGGAACTTCCTAACAGCCAGAGCTGTCCAGCAGTGGAATGGGGAATGCCACTGGGAGTTTCCCCATCGTTAGAGGTCTTCAAGGACAGACTAGATGCCCAGTTCCTAAGGAAGTTGTACAAGGAATTCCCACTCAGGTGCTGATTGAACCAAATGTCCTTTGAGTTCCCTTCCAGCTCTAAGATTCCATGAGCCTTTGGATAAAAAATCCCATGTGCCTCAGTTCCCACTTTTAATAAAATAATGGAATTAGTCTCAGTGGTCTCTATGGTCCTTCTTAGCTCTCATGGTCTATGTTCCGAAATACCTTCCTTCTCTAAAATCCTATGATTATCCTAAGATAATCTGTCTGTTTCTCTTTTCTCCCCTTTTCATCTTTTCCTCTCCACTATTTATATTTCCCTGTCTTTTCTTTATCTCCCATTGTGCCAATCCCCTTCCCCCCCCTACTTCATTCCCTCCCTCCAGGTACTATGCCATCTGCTGCCAGCCTTTGGTCTATAGGAACAAGATGACCCCACTACGAATCACCCTGATGCTCGGAGGCTGTTGGGTAATCCCCATGTTTATTTCTTTCCTCCCCATAATGCAACGCTGGAATAACATTGGCATAATAGACTTGGTGAGTACCATGCAGTCTCTAGCAGCTTGATGTGCAATGAACTTTGTGCCAGACTGTGATTTTAAGCCAATTAATTGAAATGATCTGTAAGACTTTCTCAGGTTTATGCTAATGTAAATTCAAAGAGTCTGATGTGCGTTTCTGAGTAGCATTCCTGAGTAGGGCCTAATCATTACCCGCACATGTTCTGTTCACTTAGAGTATTATAAAGTCAATGTATCCAGGAATTCAGTGTTATTTGCCCCAAGAGGTCTTTGTCCTACTTTACCTTGTCTGTCCATATTTCCAGCCATGAATAAATAATAAGATCATGAGTTCAGAATTAGAAGGGAATATAGAGGCTATCTGGTTGAACATTTAACAAATGAGGAAACAGAAGCCTAGAAGGGTTAGATGATTTTGCCCAAGTGCCCATGAATAATTGGTAGATATGGGAGAAAACATAAAAATTATGAGTTTTGGGTTCTAGTCCTACTGTTGTCACTAACATTGTGTGGCTCTAAGCAAGTCACTTTCCCAGTTCCCATGTTTGTTGTTGTTTAGTTGTGTCCAACTCTTTGCAACCCCATGGACCATAGCATGTTAGACTCTTCTATCCTCCACTATCTCTCAAAGTCTGGCCAAATTCATGTTCATTGTTTCCATGATACTATCTATCCATCTCATTCTCTGCCTTCCTGTTTTTCTTTAGCCTTCAATCTTTCCCAACATCAGAATTTTTTTCCAATGAGTCCCATCTTCTCACTATGTGGTTTGCCCAGGGTCACATAACTAGTAAGTGTATGTGGCCCGATTTGAACTCAGGTCCTCCTGGCTCCAGGGCTGGTGATCTATCCACCATGCCACCCAGCCAGCCTCCCAATCCTCATCTTTGGATGTAAAATAAGGGGATTTAATTCTATAACCACTAAGATCCCTTTCTTCTTCAACCTTCTGTGTTATATGTTTTAAAACCCTTTTGACCTCTGATATTCTCTATTTGAAAGTTTCCTCCAGCTCTGACATTCTGTATTCTATATTCTAGGACCCTGCCAGCGCCAATGTTTTAGGGATTTTTAGATATACTTACTGTGATGTTCAGAATCTATTGACAGAATCTCTCTGTTAGTGAGAGAAGTGATCACACATTAGTTGTGGGTTGGTAGCTTTCAAGTCAAACACAAAACTCCTTGAGGCTTTTCCAAGAAAGACTTTTCAAATCAAATCAAAAAGCATTTATTTAGTGCCTACCATGTATCTCCAGTACTAAGCAAAGTACTGGAGATACAAAGAAAGGCAAATAAACGAACAAAAACAGAAAAACAAACCCACCGCCTGTAGCCCGCAGAATGATGCTTAGTTTCTAATCCTCGCATCTCCAAACTCTCACCTCTTGAGGCATCCAAGAGGTAACGGTCTCTAAAAAACCCTAAAATAGAGTGCAGGGATTCAGCATTAGAAGGGACCTCAGAGGACGTTGAGTCCAACCTATCATCTCAAAAGGATCCTCGGTGACATCCCTGAAAAGAGGTCATCCAACCTCCACTTGAAACCTCCCAGTGACAGAATTTACTAAATCTGGAAGCTGCCCATTCTATCATTGGAGGACAGATCTAATAATAAGATTTATTTAATATAAAGTTGAAATCTCTTTCTGGCCAATTTCTGTCCTTTTCTCCTAGTTCTTCCCTCTTAGGCCAAATAGAATGAGTCTAATCTCCCTTCTATATGACACCCCTTAATATACTGAAAGACAGGGAACAAATGCTACCAAAACATTCCCTTCTCTAGGCTAAATATCTGTGGTTCTATCAACTGATGCACATATGGCTGAGATGTCCAATGTTTCCTTCCTCTAGATGAGCTCCAGTTTATTATTGTCTTTCATAAAATGTGATATCCAGAAGTGATACTCAGAGCTTCAGCTGTGGTCTGACCAGATCACACCACTGACTATCCCCTCCTTTATTCTGAACATCAACTCAATGCAGCCTGAGATTACATTAACATCCACAGCTGCCATACCACGCTAGTGACTCATTTTTTTAGCTTGTAATCTACAAAGACTTTCAGGTTCTTTTCACAGAAACTGGTGTCTAGCCATATTGTCCCCGCTCCTGTCCTAGTGGTGATTGTTGTTGTTCTTTTAAACCAGAGGTATGATTTCATACTCATCTATATTAAATGTTATCTTAATGAATGTGATTCATTATAGCCTGTCACAATCTATTTGCATCTTGATTCTTTCCTATTTGGAGGTTAAAATGAAAAGAGAGTAAATGACTTTCCAAGTTCTGCATATAACCCATCATATAGGTGCTTAATAGCCATTAAGAACCAGTTTCCCATGAAATGATCTCATTGCACAATTTTCAAGAAAATATAAATGTTTTAATACTTTTAAGGAGTTGAGATTTTACTAGTGTGAGCACTCCTACAAACCCACATTCTGATCCCTTCTACCTTACATATTTTTCATGAATTATTATGGCCAAAAGTATTTGTCACTGGTAGCCAGCTTTCTGAGAGTAAGTCTTTCTATACTCTGGTTGGTCTTCAAACGGCCATCACCCAACCCTTTGCCAGGCCCGTGCTCAAAGTCTGTCTATAACGGGGCATTCCAGGGATTGTGCTTTACTGACTTGGTCTTCGAGAACCTAGGGTCAATGTCACACCAAAGTGAGACCTCAGAGGAAAATTTGTGGACAGATGATAATAATAGTATCAATAATAACAGCTCACATTTATAGAATAATTTATGGTTAGCCAACAGTTTATATCCATTTTCTCATTTGATCTTCACAGCTCTTTTGAGGGGAGGGGGAAGGAAAGGGAACAAACATTTATACAATATCTATTATGTGCCAGGCACTGTTCTAAGTCCTTTTACAAATATCTCGTTTGATCCTCTCAACAATTCTGTGAGGTGCTATTATTACCCCCATTTTATAGTTGAGGAAACTGAGGCAAACAGAGGTTAAGTGACTTGCCCAGGATCACACAGCAAGCAAGTGACTGAGGCCATATTTGAACTCAGGTCTTCCTAATGCCAGGCCCAGTAATCTAGCCACTGTGCCAAGAGCTGCCTTTGAAGTAAGAATGCTAATACATTGATATTCCCATTTTATGCACTGGAAAACTGGGACTTAGAGAGGGGAAATTGCTTGCTCAAGGTCACAGAAGATAATAGCCAAGCTTGAAAAGAGAGCTTGGGTTTCTTGGCTCTTAATCCTGGGCTCTTTCTGTGACACCTTCAAGCTTTTCTTTAGTGCTGTGACTTGGATGATATAGAATATAAGGCTGAGCCTCCATGAAGTCTCCTGAGACCTTGGTTGCCTCTTCCAACCTTAGATACCAAGGAACAGCAATCACAGATTATAGCATTTAGAGGTATAAAGGACCTTGGATATCCTCTACTCCAACCTGCTCATTGTATAGATGAGGAAACTGAGGCCCAGGGAGATGAAATTCCTTGCCCTGGTCAAGTTAGCTGTGAAGTGTCAGAGCTGGGAGTTGAATCAAGTCTTCTGACTCTAAGTCTAATGTTACTATTCACCACACTGAATCTATAGTCAAATACCCAGGCACCCTGTGTTATTTTCTTCCCAAAGTTGTAATGACAAACCCTTCTTTTCTGTTCCCTTCTTCCAGATAGAGAAGAGACAGTTTGACCAGGACTCAAACTCCACCTACTGTATCTTCATGGTCAACAAGCCCTATGCTATCACATGCTCTGTGGTGGCCTTCTACATCCCTTTTATTCTGATGGTCTTGGCCTACTACCGCATCTACATCACCGCCAAGGAGCATGCCCGCCAGATCCGGCTCCTGCAGAGGGCCGGAACTCCTGCAGAGGGTCGCCGAGAAACCCCCGATCAACACAGCACTCATCATCGCATGAAGACAGAGACCAAGGCTGCCAAGACCCTGTGCATCATCATGGGCTGCTTCTGCCTCTGCTGGGCCCCATTCTTTGTCACCAACATCATCGACCCATTTGTGGGCTATAGTGTCCCTGCCCAGCTTTGGACCACCTTCCTCTGGCTAGGCTACATTAACTCAGGCCTCAACCCTTTCCTCTATGCTTTCTTGAATAAGGCATTTCGTCGAGCTTTCCTTATCATTCTGTGCTGTGATGAGGAACGTTATCGGAGACCTTCTATCCTGGGTCAGACAGTTCCTTGTTCTACCACTACTGTCAATGGGTCCACGCATGTGCTAAGGTGAGTGACAAGGGTGGAACAGCTTACTCAGAAAAGCAGCATGGTGCAGTAGAGAAATCATAGCAATTGGAGTCAAAACATCTAGGTTTGAATCGTGGCTCTCTACTTATTACCTGTGTGGCCTTGGGTAAGTCACTTCCTTTTTGTGGCTTTCAGTTTTCTCACGTATATAGTGAGGAGGTTGAACTATATGACCTCTAATGTCCTTTTCAGCTTGCAAGTTTTCAAAGGATCATAGATTTAGGTCTGGAAGGGACCCAAGAGGCCATTAAGTCCAGCCTCCTCTTATTTTACATATGAAGAAATTGAGGTAAGGCCACACAACTATTGGCTGTAGGAAGAGGGACTCAAACCCGGGTCTTCCTGACTCTAAGTCTAGCACCTTATCCATTACACCACAGAATCCTATGAAAGGGAGGAAAATCCCACAACTTTTTTTCCACAAAGGAACATTTCTGATAACAACTATAGAGTTGCTGGATGGAATTGTGGTAGGGTGTTGAATGTATCATCTCTTCCTTCCCAGAGATAGAAGGGGCACAACTTCTTTCCAAGGCAAATCCATCAAACCACAACATGATGGCTATTAACCTGTAAGGTATTGCAGTGAACATCTTCCTTGGTACTATTTTGGCCAACTGACCTCTTCCCAGCTAAACGTCACGTTTTTCTGATACCTATTTCTCATCACCTTCATTTAACAATCCAGTCTCAAAGGGCAGTCTTAGGCGTAAGAAGAGAAAAAACAGAAGAAGGAGGAGAGGGCAAATACTGTCTCTAGGAGTCAGAGGAGCTGAGCTTGAGTCTCAGTTCAATCATTAACTTGGCCATGTAACCTTGGATTAGTTACTTTCTATATGGACCTTGGTTTCCCCATGTGTATGATAAGGGGATTTGGGCTTGTTGGTTCTTAAGTGTCCCTTCAAGGCCAATAATCTGTGATTCTAGTGATTCTAGATGACTAGTGTTGCCTAAGAACGAGCTTAGTAGTATCTCCCAGTGCTTTGTGTGACATCTTTTTCTAAGTCTTGGCCTTCATCTGGCAGGTTTCAAGAATGATTTCATGAATCAAACCTTTTTTGCTTTATTGAAATGGAAGTCAAAAGATATGAATTCTTGTTCTAGTTCTGTGATAAACCGCAAACAGGAATAGCTTTCTTAGGGACTGACCTTCCTATCTATAAAGTGCAGAGACTGGAGTAGATGATCCTGAAGTCCCTTCCTAGGTCCGACATTCTATGCTCTTTGTTTTAAGAAAGACTTTTTCTGAATTAATGGTCTATCCCTCTCTGATTCTAACTGAGATTGGTTCTAGGAAAACCCAATCAAGCAAGAATTAAGCAAGACAAAAGAAGGAAGACAGCACAGGACCGTTTCAAGTGCCTTAGATCTGGAGTTGGACTTGGAGTCTAATTCTTGCTCTGTCTGTGTGATTTCAGGCCAGTCATGTAGCCCCTTTCAACCTTGGCTTCTTCCCCTGTAAGACGGAGGGTGTTGGACTGGATGTCCTCTTGTGTCCCTTTCTGCTCTAAAATTGAAGTTCCTATGATGTAATTACGTAGCACCTACTATGTGCCTAAATCTAAGGTAGCCACTAAGGTGGGGAGAAGGAGATGGACACAAGACAAGTACAAGGCTCAGCCCCATCCCTGAAAAAGCATATAGTGAGGTTAGGAACCCATGTATATGAAACAAATACATGATTCTAGGGTATACATCCTAGGTGCTAAAGGAATTCAGAAAGGGAAGAGATCACAGCACAGCGGAGACTTCTTAGAGAAGGCAGGATTAAGTTATCCCAAGAATTACAGATTCACCAAATCAGAGCTGGTAGGAACTCACAGGGTATCTGATCTAGCCTTACATGAATAGGAATCCTCTCAACAACATTCTAGACAGGAAGTCATCCAGCCTTGTGATAAGTAGTATTTTGACTGGTAGAGAGAAGGAGGGACTGCATCCCAGTCAGCCAAGAGCAACATAAACTGAGGCCATGAAAAAGCAGTCACAGCAAGGGGAGACATGAGTTGGGTATATTAAGGAAATCACATAGACTGGAGCAAAGAATTCATACTGGGGAGTCCTGAACAGGAAGTTCAGATAACTTAGGCAGGAACAGATTATGAAAGGCCTGGAATGACAGATAGAAGAATGACTGCATGACATAGTAACTGAAACAAGGAGCCTTTATGTGTTCTTGTGCAGAGATATGATGGGAAAGTATGAAAGGAAGATTGGCACGGAGAAGCCGAGACTGGAGGCAGGGAGATGACTAGAGCAGGAGTTTTTAAGCCAGGGCCTGTGATCTTTTGTTAAAAAATAATAGTAATAACTGCATTTTAACAGTTTTTTGTAATTGTATGTATTTTACTTTATGCAATTAAACATTATCCTGAGAAAGCATTCAGAGGCTCCTCCAGACTGCCCAAGGGACCCATGCCACTTAAAAAGTTAGGAACCCTTAGACCAGAGGCTGTTGCAGTTGTCTAGACAGGAGGTGGTAAAGACCCGGATGAGGATGGTAGCTGTTTGCAAGATTAGAAGGGATGTATCCTCAAGACATTTCAAAGGAAGTGTAGAAGTTGATTTGGGAGAGAAAATGTTGTGTTAATTTTTGGGGCACATTGAATTAGAGGTAATGGCAGGATATCCAAGTGGAGATATTTTGTAGACAGGTGGAAGTGAGGGGTTAGAGTTTGGCTAGATTTTTTGTTTAGTTGTTTTCAGCTATATCCAACTCTTCATGACCTTTTTGGGGTTTCCTTAGCAAAGATACTAGAGTGATTTACCATTTCCTGCTCCAGCTTATTTTACTGATGAGGAAACTGAGGCAAACAGAGTTTAAGTGACTTGCCCAAGATCACACAGCTAGTAAGTGTCAGAGGCCAGATTTGTACTCAGGTCTTCCCGATTCCAGGCCCAGTGCTCTATCCACTGTGCCACCTAGCTACCCCTTGTATTACCTACCTGCTCCTTTGGCTAGATACCAGGGCAATTTGGCATATTGGCTTGACTGAGGGACTTGCAATCAAAAAAGATCTGAGTTCAAGTCATGCCTCCAAAAGTTATTCACTGAATGACCCTCGACAAGTGACTTAAATTCTCTTAGTTCCAGTCTCCTCATTTGTAAAATGAGGATAATAGCACCTGCTGAACAGACATGTTGTGAGGATCAAATGAGATTTTATATACATATAATTTATATTGACATATATGTGTATGTATATATATATATATATTTATATATAAATAACACTTTCCAAACCTTAATGCACTATATAAAGGTGAATTATTATCATTATTGTAGAGGTATGGAGCAGTGAGTTATAAGCAACTGAAGCTATAGAAGTAGATGAATGTTCCAAAAGACTAGTGGAGGAACCATGATCCCAGGAGGTAACATCCCCATCTAGAGTATTATGCCCAATTCTGAGCACCACATTCCAGGAGAGACCTTGACAAACTGGAGCTTATCAGGACAACTAGGATAGAAGTGGAAGGAATTGGGTTGTGGCCTGGAGAAGAAAAGGCTTGGGGGGCAACATGACAGCAACCACAGTTATCCAAGGGGCTTTCGTGAGCAAGAGAGATTATTAGTCTTGTTCTGTTTGACTTCAGAGAATGCAGAGCCAGGAGCAAAGGGGAGAAGTGAGCAGGAAGCAGATTTCAGCTTGATTGAGGAAACTGTTCCAAATAACCATTCTGAGCTGTCTGAAAGTGGAATGGGCAGCTTCTGCAGGAAGTCATTTTCCTTTCACTGAACGTCTTGAAGGGAAGACTGAATGATCACTTGGAGGGAGTGTAACATAGTGAAAGGCAATTTGGTGTAGTGTAAAGAGCACTGTCCTAGGAGTGAAAAGACCTGAGCTTGGGTCTTGTCTCCAAACAAGCTGTGCTAGCTGTGTGACCCTGAACAAATTACTTTGCTTTTCTGAGTCTCAATTTACTCATCTATAAAACGGGAATAATAACATTGACATTTCTTACTTCTTGGGGTTGTTGTAAGGAAAGTGCTTTGTAAAGCTTAAAATGTCATGGAAATGATGGAAATGTGAATTATTATGCTATGGAAAGGATTCCTGTTTGTGTACATGTTGAGTTAGAAGACCTCTGAGGTCCCATCTAGCTCAAAGAGTCTAGAATTCTAGGAGTGCCATCAAGCAAAGGCAGCTTAATGCCCCCATCTCTCAGATGGCCCTGCCAAGTAGAGGATAATACTTGTGTTGGATGGTCAGAGGACGTTCTGCCTGGGACAGGGCTGACTCAGAACTGAATAATCAATCACTTCCTCAACTTTCCTTGTTCATTATTCCCAATCTGTCAAGCTTCCTCATGATACACTTGCTGCCGTGTCTGAGCTTGAAGCTAATTTTATATTAATTATCCCATCCAATGCAACAAACATTTATTGGATCATTCATTCATTTTATTCACTGAACAAGTATTTATAAAGCATTTGCTATGTGCCAGGCCCTGTGCTAGTCACTGGGGGTATAAAGACAAAGATGACCTAGTCATTCTTTGTTCCTTGACATTGTTCCTTGTTCATAATTGATTCTTCCTTTTTAAGGAGGCCATGTAATTACTGAGGTTTAGAAGGTCCCCGAGTTTTACCAGGATCTTGTGTGCCATGGTCTCTCTAGCAAATAGCCAATCTCCAGTATTACATGCTGGTTCTTGCTTGTTTTAATTTTCAGACAGCATTTGTTTGAATTTATTCCCAAGTGGGCCTGGGAATAAGGAAAATCTGGGGTTCAAATACTGACTCTGACACATACTGGCCAAATGATTGTCAAATCATTTTGTCAGTGTTCTAGGCCAGTGATGTTAAACTCAAATCAAAATGGATCGCTGCTGACCACATGTTGACTTAGAAAACCACAAGTCCCTATTATCTATGTTTTATTGTATTTTTATTTATTTTATCAAATATTTACCAATTACATTTTAATCTGATTCAGGCTGCATGCTGCCTACCATGTATTTGACACTTTTGCCTCTTGGCAATTCTCTAAGAATATAAGTTGCACAAAAGGTGGTAACCTGCATTGATAGAGAGAGTTCCCTCATCTGAGAGTTCCCTATATCAATAAACTCATAGGTCAAAATAACCAAAGGCATTCTCTTACTTTGTGCCTCAGTTTCCTCATTGAAAAGATTGGGAGCATAATACCTATAGTACCTACCTCATAGGGGGTAATGCCAAGACCTCTTGAGATAATATAGATAAAGTATTTTGTAAGCGTATCGTGCCATATCCAAAAGAACTGTCTAAAAGTGGGCTGGGCTGCCTCAGGAGGTGGCAAGGTCCCCACCATCAAAGATTTTCCCCATAGAGGCTGAATGACTACTTGCTGGCAATGTTTTAAAGAGGTTTCTTGTTCAGATGTGAGTTGTCAAAGGCCACTCCCTCGTGCTGCCTAACCAGATTAAAATATCATTGGGAAATATTTGAAAAAAATAAATAAAAATACAATAAAACATAGATGACATTACATTTTAAAACTAAGCCAATACACAGCCTGTAGGGACCTTTATACATGGACTAGTAACCCCCTACTTCTATTTGAGATCGACACTACTGTTGTAGTTATTTTTCAAGGTATAAGATTCTATGACTCCCATCCAGCTTGAATATTGTAGATGCTAAGAATATAAGATCTGAGTAGTGATAGACCAGACCGAATAGCTTTGGGGAGAATTATTAATTCATTCTAACACTGGCCTCCCTCCCTCCCACTCTTTCCATTAATTATGAGCAGGTGTCCCTAGGGAGTGGCACAGGAATGCTGGTTGATACATTTGGATCTCTGGCTTTTTCTTTTCTAGTTCAGGCCTGAGGGTCAAAGGCTTATGGGAAAAGAAGAGAGACATCGTCAAAGGGGTGAGGGTACCAACCTTGGGTTTAGTGGAGTTAGGGTCCAATGCCATGAATGAGCTAGTAAGAGTGAACCATTAGTGGGAAAAAAATCTACGAATAGCCCGCTTAAGAAAGTTGGACCAGATGACCTCTAAGGTCCCTTCCAGCTCTAATATCAATGTTCTATGTTCTAAGGTCTTTTCCAAATCTAAAATTCTATGATTCTAGGAAGTGAATACCATCATCTGCTCTGTATGGAAAAGTCACACAACTTTTCAAAAAACCCCAAAGGTGGGTATTCATTCCTAATCAGGTTCAGTGTGGGTACTTGCATAGAATGCTGAATCAGCTGTCAAAAGAGCTGGTTTGAATCATGACCTGCTTTGGTAGTGGTGTTGTGTGACCTTCAGCTAGTCATCTCTCCCCCTGGAGTGTTCTCATTTAGCAAAGTAGAGATAATAATTCCCATCCTACCCCCTGTATAACGCTGCCAGGTTTCCGGTAAGCTATAGAAACTCTTGGTTAACTAACTGTAAAGCGCTATGAGACCTAGGTCAAGAGGCTCAGAGACTCTTTTGAAAAACAGGGAGATAATGCTTGTACTAGCTACCTTAAAGGGCTACGAAAATGGGAGCTATTAGGACTGGGAATGCTTGCATAATTATCGTGAGGCTTTCATTATTATACAAATGGGATGGGGTTGTTATTATGCTTGTAATAGCTTTTCTTTTTCTGGTAGAGAGAGAGAGCCCGTTACTTTCCTTAAAAATTGTTTTTGACGTTTTTTAAGGGAAGAGAGAGAGAGAGAACACCATCGCTCTAATGAAACAATGCACCTGGCAACCAGCCATCCCCCAGAGTCGATCAAGGTTCCCCACTGTTGTGAGAGTCACAGCCGATGACCAAGAAGCAGGAGCCCCCAGAACTATTGGGGGATTCCTGGGGGTTGGACACTTGCCTACTGAAGAGGCTATGTGGCGTGAACGCACAGGCAGCCCAGGACATCGGAAAAGAGTCTAAACTCCCTGTGGTCTGGTAGATACCAGGAAAGGGCTCTGCTCCTTCTTTGCTTCCTGTGGCAAAAAGCACCTGCTGACTAAACATCCTTTGAGGCCGCAGTTGTTTGTGCTGGGAGGCTAGCAAAACCAAAGGACAGTTCGGGTTGCTGATTCCTTCTTCAGAGGAAGATTCAATCACATTCCATTTCATAAGAATGGCAAGTACTGGTTCCTCCTTCAGGGGACAGTTTGGGCTCTGTTGATCTTCAGAGGCTGCTAACTTCTTCCAAGAAAGTCGCAGGCTGGCTCCATCTCCCTGGAAAACATTCTGAGAAGCAGTTCTAGCTAGAACTGTGAATAGACAAAGTGAACCCAGTTTTCAGGAGCAGCCACAGCCTCGACAGAAGCTTTGGTCCAAAGGAGAACACGAGAGACCATCCAAATGTTATGCATGATTTTTGGCTGTAGGACGTTCTGTGATGTTTATGCAAGCAGACCTGTCGTCTCTCTTCTCTCAGGTCTTCTGCATTAGTGTTTTCTGGCTTTTTAAAGTTGTAGTTTGGGGGAGGGGGTTGTTGTTGTTGTTGTTGTTGTTGTTTTCTGCTTCTCTAGTTGTTGTGATTGTTTCTTAATATGTCTCTCTCCTGAAGCCCCACAAAGGCAAAATAAAGCAACTAGGAGAGTTTCTCTCTTCCCCCTTACGCTTGCTATGGGTAGGGAACTGATATGCTTCAGGTCTCCTTAGCCTGAGCCTTTGGGGTGGGAAGTCTGTGACTCTTCTGGTCTTTGATCTTTAAAATGTCCAGTGTTCTGGACATGATTTCTCTTTCTGACCAGTGATGGAAAGAGTATGCCAAATGCATTGATTCGTACGATGGCTACTTTTCTCAGGATCGTAGACCTAGAGCTGGAAGGATCCTCAGAGGCCGTCTAAACCAACCTGCTCATTTTACAGAGGAGAAAACTGAGGCCCACGTGCCTCACCTAAGGTCACACAGGTAGGAAGTGTCTCAGGTGGTCTTCTGACTCTAAAGCCAAGCTCTTTCTACTGTATCATGATGCCCCCTTCTTTTGCTACTATCGTTGTGTTTGTTTGTGGAGGTAGAGTTAGGGGAGGGGGAAAGAAAGGGAAAGAAGGGGGTAGAAGAAAGTGCAGGAGTGGAAAGGGCACTAACTATGGCTCGTGTAAGACAACCAGGGTGGTGAGAAGACTGAAAACCAGGCCAAATGAGGATCAGGTGAAGAAATTGGGGACTCTCCTGGAAAACAGAAGACACAAGGGGGAAATGTCTTCAAATAATTCCCCAAATAATGAAACATTGAAGCTGGAAGGATTCACAAAGATCATTTAGTCTTAACTCTCTCCTCTCCTCTCTTCTCTCCGCCCCTCCCTCTCCCCCACCTCCTTCCCTCCCTTCCCTCCCCTCTCTTTCCTTCCCTCCTTCCCCCCTCTCTCCCTCCTCCACCCTTTCAGCTAAGTAAAATGAGGCTTGGAAGGTCAAGGGCCTCGCTGAAAGGTCACTCAGGTGCTAAGTGTCAGAGCAGTGCCTGAATGAATCCAGGTCACTGGCCTTCGAGTCCAGAACTCTTTCCTCTGTGCCACACTGCCTCTATTTGAAAGATGGTCGTGGGAAAGGTGTATTCAACTTGTTCTGCTTAGCCCTAGAGGGCAGAACTAGAAGGCAATTGTTTAAGTCACTAAAAAGGCGGATTTGGGCTTAAGGTAAGGAAGAAACTTCCAGAAAACAGGGGCTGTCCAGGAGAGGAGTGAACTTTTTTCAGAGATGATAAACTCCCTCTCAGAAAATGTAATTAAATTCAAAAACTATTCATTATGCTCCTACTATACGATAGGACCTAAGAAAAATAAAACACTCCTTGACTTCAATGAGCTCACATTCAACTGGGGAGAAAAAGGGTTTTCACAGAAAACTACATACATACATACATATGTATACATACACACATGTGTGTATAAATGTGTGCATATATGCATGTGTGTGTGTGTGTGTGTGTGTGGCACAAAGGGAGAGGCTAAATGTAGTGGTAGATGGAGAGCTGGACAACCTGGATTCAAGTCCTTTCTTTGCTGAATACTGACGGTGACCCTGGTAAGTCCCTTTACACCTTGGTCCTGTAGACAAATCTATAAGATTCTAAGTTGCAGAGAAGGTCCTAATCTTCATTAGTAGAAGGAGTTTTCTCACTTTCTATGTAACATTAAAATCACAGGTCTGGTTAATGCACACACACACACACGCACAGTAATTTCTAGGTGAATAATAATAACTAGCATTTATATAATGCTGTCTGGTTTTCAAAGCACTTTACAAATATCATGCATTTGATCATCACAACAGCCCAGAGAGGTAGGTGCTTTTATGAACCTCATTTTACAGATGAGGAAACTGAGGTGCAGAGAGGTTACGGGCTTGCCCCGAATCACAACCTAGTATTTGAATTCAGGTCTTCCTGACTCCAAGTCCAGCTGTCTATCCACTGAGACACCAGACTGACTTTCTTTGTGGTAAGGTATTAGGCACTTGTAGGGAATGGTACATGAGCTAAGCTTTGAAGGAACTTAGGAATTCTGTGAGGTGGAGCCAAGGAAAGGACCCATTCCAGCCATGGTGCTTAGTCTGTGAAAAGACACGGACACCGGAGATGAAACATCATGTATGGGAAATGGCTAACAGTCTAGTGTGGTGTCCGTGAAAAAGAATAATATGTAGCATTGCTAGGAAGGTAGCCTGGTACCATAGAATGAAGACCTTTAAAAGCCAAAAGTGATTTGATATTTTATCCTAGAAGCAAGAGAGTGACATGATCAGATCAATGCTTTAAGACTATCAATTTGGTAGCCTTGTTGAGAATGGATTGGAGAAAGAAAAGATGAGTTAGGAAGCCAAACAGAAATAGTCTGAAGGAGAGGTAATAAGGGTCTGACCTAGGGTGTTGACCATGTAAGAAGAGAGAAGGGGATGGATGAGAGATATGCTCTGGAGATAGACCTGACAAATCTTGGCAACTGATTGGATTGGGGAGGGGACGGAAGTGTCAGGAATGATGCCAAGGTTATGCACCTGAGTGACTAGAAGACTGGTGGTATCCTTAACAGAAGAAGAGAAATTAAGATGGGGGGTGAATTTTGGGAAAAAGATAATGAGCTCTGTGAAAGTATGGTGGTATCCTCATCTGAAAAAGAGAAGTTGGGAAGAGGGAGAAGATTGGAGGAAAAGATAATGACTTCTGCTTTGGACACAATGAAGTTAAGATGTCTCTGGGATATCCAGTTGGAGATGTCCAGTAGGCAGTTGGTTATGTGGGATTAAAGTTTAAGGGAAAGATTGAGTCTGGACATATACATCTGTAAATCATATTTATAGAAGGAATCATTGAACCTGTGCAAGCTGATGGGACTACCGAGAAAGTGTGTGTGTGTGTGTGGAGAGAGAGAGAGAGAGAGAGAGAGAGAGAGAGAGAGAGAGAGAGAGAACACTCATGTAAAGAAGGTGGGACAAGGATGATGATCCTAGAAAGGAGACTAGAAGAAGCATCCAGACGGTGCAGAAGGGAATCAAAGCCAGGAAAATGAAGGGAGTCTAGGAGGAGGGAATGGGAAACAGTATTAAATGCTGCAGAGGTCAGAATGGATGAGGACTGAGAAATGGCCACAGGATTTGGCTATTAAGAGCTCATTGATAACCTTGGAGAGAACAATTTCAGTTGAGTGATGAGGTCATAAGCCAGGTTACAAAGGTCTAAGAAGAGACCGAGGTAAGAAAATAGAGGGAGCTGGTGTTGAAAAACTTAAAAGGAAAAAGAGATACAGGATGATAACTTCAGGGACTCGTAGGATCACATGAAGGTGTTTTTAAGGAGGGAGAAAATCTGGGCATGTCTATAAGCAGTAGGTAAGGAGCTAGTATAGAAGGAGAGGCTGAATATTAGGGAGAAAGAGGGAATAACCTCAGGGGTAGACTATCAGAGGAGATGAGAGGGAAGGTGATCAGGGATACAGACAGAGGGATTGCTAGTTACAAGGTGAAAGATCACCTCTTCATCAGACTGGAATAGAGGAGGTGATGATGAGGTAATTTGAAATATGAATCTGGGGAGAAGAAATTTACAACAAATAGTCTCTGAGGCTTTTTTCAGTGAAGTATTTGGTAAGGTCCTGTGCTGAGAGGGAGGAGGGAAGTTATCTTGAAAGAGAAAAGCCATGGAAGAAACATTGAAGGGAAGGCCCAGCTTGATGCCTCCCCAAAGAGATCTCTGGCCCAAGCCTGGGTCTTTAGGCATGCCAGTAAGGGGAGTGGAGAGAGCAACAAATGTTATAATACTCAAAAGCACATCCCTTTGAAGGCAATTGTCAAGAAACCCCCATCCTGTAAAGGTAATTGGCAACTCTCTAGAGGGCCTCATTAAGAATTGTAATAGACTTTTAAATAGTTTGAGCCCCATAGGAGCTCTTACCTGCCAACTGACTCAAGTAGGATGAATAAAAGAAAAAGCATTAATTAAGCACTTCTTATGGGTCAAGAACTGTGCTAAGCACTGGGGATACAAAAGGAAAATCAGCATAGTTTTTCCTCTCAAGGAGATCACACACTAATTAGGGAAGCCAGCACAAATTGCAAGAGTCCAGCAGCATGAACTTTGGTTTTTCCCTGTCCTGTGATTCCAGCGCCAAGCAGTGAGATTTTAGGAAGCTGGGATTAGAGAAGGCCCTGGGAACCACTGTGATGTGACTCTAACAGGTAATGGAGGGTCTAATCAAGCACCTTGACAAAGGGCTAATTAGGATTAGAGCGAGAAGGAGGAGAGGGTTAAGGTGTGTGCTTGTTTTCTATCTGCATGGGTATGCCTTTTTTTATTTGGGAGGGAGAGTGGTCCTGCTATCTAGGCTTCTGATTTCATCAGAGTTGATGGATTTCCCTGTGTGGAAACTTTCCACACTAATGCAGAGGGGGTAACTCCTGTTTAACTTCTAGTCTCAGAAAATTAAATTGTCGTCCATGGCCACACAGCTGGTGTATTTCAGAGGCAGGACTTGAGCCCTTGTGTCTCTGACTTCAAGGCTGGGCATCTCTGGAGGGATAGCTTACTCAGTTACCTAGGTGCCCAACAAGACCAAGTGTGGGCTAAGTTATTATTCTGTTGATTGTCTAGACTTAAGAAAGTTCATCACGCTTTCTCCTGCCACCAGCAAGTCAATGCAGATTAATGGAGCCCCAGTGCAAAACCTTGCATCAGAAGACCAGATGGGTGCCCATGTCTTCTCAGAAAAGGATAGTCACAGGTGAATAATGGAATGTTGTAATTAGAAAGGCTCTTAGAACAAAGAACATTAGGCTACCAGAGCTTAGAATATGGACCTTCAGAGCTAGAGAGGGTCTTAGGCCATATGAGTTGGAAGAGACTGTAGAACACAACATATTTTTTATCATACTGGGAAGGTCCTTAGAACTTAGAATGTCAGAGCAGGAAGGGACTCTAGAATACAGAAGGAACCTTTGGGATAATCAAGCCCAGTGCTTTCATTTTACAGAGAAAAGTGAGGATGAGAGGTAGCTAAAGTGAATTGCTTTCTGAGATCATTCATGAAACTCTCCTAAGAAATTAACCAATAGTCATCTCTTATTCATCTCTCTGGTTCCTGTTGTCCCTGTCTC